GTGATAACATCCTTAGTCATCTTGCTATCTAGGGAGCTATGGCCTCAGTTTAGTCATCTTGCTATCCAGGGAGAATTTAGGCTTGATTTGCTCTGTTGTTATGTGCTTCCAAGTCATTCGTGACTCATGGCAACCCTAAGGCGAACCTATCATCGGGTTTTCTTGGCAGGTTTCTTCAGAGGGTGTTTGCCATGGCCATCCTCTGAGGATGAGAGAGTGTGAGTTGCCCAAAGTCACCCAGTGGATTTTCATGCTCAAGTGGATTCGAACCCTCATCTCCAGGGTCGTAATCCCAACACTCAGACCACTATACCACACTGGCTTTCTTTGCTCTAGGACCTGTTTGTGTGTCTTTTTAGCAGTCATGGTGTCTGTAGATATTAACTTTACATGTGAACAAATGTATTTCCTCCCTTAATGGGGCAGAAGACAAGAAGGAACATGGTAAGAACTAGGAAGCTGAGAATTACAAACCAGGATCATAAGGTCATGGTTGCTCTCTTTTTCTCCCTTCCCCACTCAATCTCTTTTTTCGTTAGCATTCTAGCAAGAAAAGCTTTCTGTTGTGCTAAATGTACCATACCTCTGATGCAAGCGATAGTAAAGATATAAGTGTGTTTTGAAAGTTATGTAAATTGGGCAAAATAGTATTTTCCATTCAGACTGGAATGTAGCTTGTCTTTTTCTGGGCAATTGTTCATTTCAAATAATAAATACACTTCTAATATAGATGTTCTTCAGTGTAGAATTTTTGTTTCAGGCAGTCAAAGAACATTATTTGACACCGAAAAAAATCAAACCCAAACAATGTAATTTCCATTTCATCTGTGCATTTACAGAGATTCCCAAATGTTAGTCCTTCAAGTGTTTTGGACTTCAACTCCTAGAAGCCCCAGCCAGCAGTCAGGAATTCTGGGAGCTGAAGTCCAAAACATCTGGAGGACCAACGTTTGGGAACCACTGTGTCACAAACAAAAAATCAGGACATGTGTGTGACCAAGCACTTCAGAGTGTGATGAAGCTGGCAAAGGTTATTAATGTGCAAGAACACACAAATAAGCTGAGCCTAGTAGGAAGGACAAGATTTCACCCTCTCCTTTTGTCCTTGCTGAGTTCATTGAGCACAAACTACTTTTGCACTTTGAACTCAGCTTACAGCAAATGAAGTAAGCAGAGGACAAAGGGGGAAAATAGGAGGAGGAGAGAGAAAGTGGAACATTTAAAAAAATCAGATGAAAAAGTTGGAGAACAGGATTAACCAGGAACCATTCCTGGACAGTGGGAGGATATGCCTGTATATAGCCCAAACTTTGGTTGGTCTGTTATCATCTAATTGTGTCTAGTAGGCTCAAGATCCTAAAGAAAAGATCAGATCAATGTGTGTGAAATCTGCCTACTCCAGGTTTAAATCATACAGCAATTCACAGCACAGTATCAAATCAAATCAATTTTATTCACGGTCTTTGACCAAAATATCTCAAAAATATACGGTATAAGTATTAACCAGTAGAAACAAACATACAAATAATATACCTAAGTAAAATAAGCTAAAATACAAATGTGCATATAGACAGGCAGCACCCCACACACCAGGATGCAGGGACCTATCTTTTAGCATCCCACTTTCAACATTTAACAATAATGCTGGTCCTGGGTAATTTGTCTGTGTGTAAAAATGACAGCTGCACAGAATAGAGCCATGATCTCAGTTATTTGAGAGTCTGCACCCTCAGGCAGTAATATCAAGTAATGATCAGCTGGTCTTCCTGGGAATTTTTGTAAAATTGGGTAGATTAAAGAGGAGTGTACAACTTGATAGAATGGGCCATATAATACAATGTGCACAAGTGATTTAACTGAAGTATCAGAACATAAACATGTCCGATTCTCATTCTTATATTTTCCTTCCAACAGCGGAAGGGAGGATGTTAAAACAGGCTGCAGTGAAGGCTGCCCTACGTTTGGGTGCTTAGCCAAATAGGTTGGCCTAGCAAAAGTCACTTCCAAATTTCCTGAAACTGGGATATTCCTAATTTTACCCCTGTGGTTCTGTATCCCAGATAATGCTATCTAAAGACTGATTTGCCCTTTCATAGCTCATTCGTACTAGGGTTATCTGAGAAAATCCACACATACATGCAGTATATAAGAGGTCCTCCCTCATAGAGTGGGTCTTTGGTATCTGCTGGGTTTGGTTCCAGGACCCACTGTAAATATCAAATCTATAAATGCTCAAGTCCCATTAAATACAATGGCATAGAGAAATGGTGTCCCTTATATAAAATAGCAAAATCAAGGTCTGGTGTTTGGAATTTCTATCTTTTGGGAATATTTTTAAGCTGTGGATGGTTGAATCTGTGGATAAAGAATCCGTGGATATGGAGGACCAACTGTATATCGAGAATAGGCAGCCTGTAACCAAATTTCAAAAGTCTTCTGCAAGCGATCAAGGATAAAAGCATAATAGTTAAAAATTATTTTTTAGAAATAACCCATCCCCATTGCTTGCTACTGTGTTTAGAAATAATTGCTGGATGGAAAGGGCAGACTGAGAGTGGTGAGAAAACATGAGAGAAAGAGAGGTTACAGAGAAAGAGAGAAAAGGGTTAGATCCATTTCACTTTGGACTGACCATGCCAACTTGGGTCCTAGCTACCACCAACGTGTAGTGCCTGACAGACTTGCCTACGATACACAATGTTGAGGATTTTGCTGATTTGGTAATAATGTGTAGTAAGAATATAGTAAGTAGGAAGAATAATTGTTCATGTCAGAAGATTTGGCTCTATTCTTAGCGGTTGCCATGTTCTATTCTGTTTGCTCAATTCTTTCATCATTCTTTATTGCTGCCTTCTGATCTTCAGCTTAGTCTCCAATTAATATGAATACACACACACAGATGCACAGTGATCTACATCAGTTCAGAGCGCACAGCTGCTTAGTGGTAAGGCACATTCATTCCTCCCATAATATATATCATTTTAATATTTTCCCTTTTGTGAAAGTGATGAAAGGTTGAATCATATTTGCCATACCACCCACTAAAGCATAAGGCTTTCTTTCTTGACAAGTAAGTTTTCTACTGATCTGCTTTAGGCAATTGTGGTATCTACCAGATACTTCCAAAAAAGCCACATAAAATGTATCTGATCTTCTTTTAAAGCTGTCCAGGAGTTGAGATTCTAGACAAACAGGTCATCTGACAATGAAAACATTCCTGATTAAAATCATAGTGAGGCTCTTTCCCATGGAAGAATTTTTTTAAATCCTCTGTACCTCAGAAATGAGCATGCCAAGGATGAGAGGACTTTAAAATATTCATCTGACACCTCCTTCTCTCAGTGTTGGCAGTATTTTCAGGACTTTGCTGTCAACTAAAAAAAACCCAACAACCTCAAGATGGCACCCTGTCTCCCATTCCATCTACAGAAGCTGACTGGACTGGCAGTTGAATTGGTTGAATTGTTGAATTCAGCACCAGTGGCAGCACTGTGTAGTGGTTTGATGTTGGGCTATGACTGGAGATCAGGGTTTGATTCCCCACTTGGCCATGGAAACCCACTAGGTGACCTTGGGCGAGTCACACATTCTCAGCCCCAGAAACCCTTGTGATAAGTTCAACTTAAGGTCACCATAAGTCAGAAACAACTTGAAAGCACACAACAAGAAGTGCCAGGATAGCCACTTCTGCTGTTATCTGGAGGCAACAGGCTAACTTAACATTTAGCCCTACCATTTCTAGAACCAGTTTTTCTACTACATCAGCTGTCTGAATGCAATGCATCTCAGAAAATGAACATCCAAACCTTGCGGCAAAGAATGTCATAAATCCATGATGGGCTGAAAGTGGAAATTATCACATTTGCCTAAACATTGGTTGAATGTGTTGGCTGTTCCTGATTTCTGCGAGAGAGAGAGAGGTTCTTCTCAGTCATTCCTCATGAGAAGCATCCTACAGAAAGTTTCCATTATCAAATGCAGCATTTGGAACATTATTTCTTCAAGGAAATTTGTTCCCATTAGTCATTGTAGTGTTCAGCGATTAATTCATTCTCATTTGACAACTGAAAGGCAGCATGGTGTAGTGGTGTGAGTGTTGGACTAGGATTCTAGGAGTCCAAGGTTCAAATCCCTGCTCATCCATGGAAACCCAATGGATGGTTTTGATCAAGTCACATACTCTCAGTCTA